AGAAGAAAGTTGAATTAAAGTAAGCAGAGCTAAAGTGGCTTCTTTCAGAAAGAGGGCCAACACCAAGGCCCTTATTTATCCCATATAAAATAAGATTATTTTGAGTTTTGAAAAATGCAAAACTGTTCACATAGAGTCTTAAGAACTAAAGAACTAGAGCAAAATACATTTGATTACACAGACAGATTAAAAAAACTGCAGAGTTACTCAGAGAAAGAAAATTCTGCCAAAAGTAATGACTTGTTGCTTCTTCTTTTTCTTTTAAGTAATCTAGATCCACAACAGTTTTTATCAGCTTATTCCTCAGCACAGGCTCCATGTCTTGACCAAATTTCATAAAATGTTGATTAACTGTTTTTGTGTAACCTTGCAGATAGACAGATGGCACTTGACAAAAAAAAACCCTTGCAGCTGACAATACTTGCCGTCAAGCATATTTTACCATCTGTAGGAGAATGATGAATTGTTTTACTCTTTAAATAACCCCGTTTAGCCATATGCTGTCATATTTCTATCTGAAAAAAAATATGCCACTGTGGAACATAAGTAACATGAAATATCAGTCGTTCGATGGTTATGAATATGTGGGGAAAGCCAACGCTTGGCTTCAGTAGGTGTTAGGGAAACTTGTGTCATAGCAACTACACTGAGAGCGTGTTTTCCCTACCGCCCCCAGTAATGAGGCTGTTTCACTGGAGCCAAGATTATCTTTGCCTTTCAAATCTTATGACAGAATTATACAATATAAGTTTTTAAAACGAAGCATTATCTGGAATATGTGAAATAACTGGAATAGTGAGGCAATGTGTGGGATTATTAGCAGCCTATGATCCGTGTTCCCGGGATTTATACATCGAGGAGTGCAGAGAATCTGTTGATTCCTCTGTTATGCTGATATTTAGTGGCTATATTTAGCTGCAACCATCTTGAATATCAAAGCCTCTTGTAAAGGAAAGTCTGGAGGGAAACTTTTGCATTGGCCTGCAGTGCTCCCTAGTGGAGGTTTGTGAAATGAAAAAACAGGCCATCCAGCTTTATGTGTATATTGAGTTATAATAATAAATATACATTTACGGCTTGTATTTTTTTTTAACTGTCCTTGTGTGTAGAGTTTTCCCTGTTTTCCTACAACAACGGCATGGTGATGTCATCATGTCGAGAGCTGGACAACAACCGCAGTGCTCTATCTGCTGCCTCCGCCTTTGCTATTGCTACTGCTGGAGCCAATGAGGGTACCCCTACCAAGGAAAAATATAGACGGATGTCCCTTGCCAGTACAGGTATATTCACCAAGAAAGTGTTGGGCAATTCTCTAAACTTTATTCTCCTTCGGTGCCTCTCATTTAATGTATTTTTTTGCAGGTTTTCCAACAGATCAGAGAAATGGAGACAAAGAGTTTGTGATCAGACGAGCGGCAACCAACAGAGTCCTGAATGTGCTTCGGCACTGGGTGTCCAAACACTCTCCGGTAACGCATTTCATAGCAGAGATGTTAACACAGCATCTTGGCATATTTTCTCCTTAACAGAGGAAAGAAATTGTTTTGGAAAATAACTTAATAAAAATTTGAGAATATTATCCACACAGAATACAACTAATTCAAAACTAACCTCATGAGCAGTGATGATCAATGACAAAATCTACAGTTTTCTATCATCCGTGTGTGCTGTGTGTGCCTCTCTAGGACTTTGAGAGCAACAATGAGCTGAAAACGAAGGTTATTGCCTTTTTGGAGGAAGTGATGCATGACCCTGAGCTGTTGACCCAGGAGAGGAAAGCGGCAGCCAACATCATCAGGTACCGCTGAGTGCTGTTTGAGTGAAAGAGGGATTAAAAGGCATTTTACTGGGTCATTAAGCTGTACATCTTTCAGAGGTTGACCTTCTTTTTCATGTCATCAGGACTATAACTCAGGAAGATCACGGTGACAATCAGATCGCGATAGAAGACGTGACACAACTGGTAAGTGAAGTGAGTAGCTGCTGTTCGTGGCTCTATTTGAAATCAATCCTCTGCTCACTTGGCTGCTCCCATGATAATAGATGCTGAATATTTTTGATCAGTTATGAGACATAAATTCAGCAAACAATTAATGCATTATGTGATAGTTAGCAGATGGGATTCATTAGACTGGAATCTTGACGGTGCGTGAATTTGCACATATGTAAATGTTGCTCAAGAGTGACAAGCAGTGATTTCACAAATGCCACAAAGTATTTTTAGATACAGCTGCAGGAAGTGTAATTGAGTATATTTATTATAATACTATCAGCTAGACGGGGGAGGGGGTTCTGCCTGAAAAGATGACAAATTCAAAAATAAATATTGAAATACAATAAAACAGTTAAAGATTTCTTTTGTATATATTTTGGTGTCCTTGATCACAGAAACTTTTATGAAAATAAGACAGTCAATAGCACATTTCAGTCTAGTTAAAAGTCATTTTACCAACACTTGACAAATTGAAGATGTAAAAGTAAAAAAAAAGAAAAATTTAGAGGCGAAGGTGCATCAAAACCTACAGAAATACCTTGTTTGGTAGATTATTTATTGTCATGTTAAAAAAACTAAAGTCAAGTTAGCTAATTTAGATCATTTGGGATCTGTTTTATTGTTTTTTTGGACTGTTTGTGTCTTTCAGGTGGGAGGAGGGAAAGCTGAGACCTTCGAGAATCACTCAGCAATGGAAATTGCAGAGCAGCTCACTCTGTTGGACCACCTGGTGTTCAAGGTCATTCCATACGAGTGAGTGTCATCACACCACACAGCCAGGAAGCATGAACACACCAATACATGCTTCACTTCTTCTTTCTTGGTTTGCCTCACAGGGAATTCTTTGGCCAAGGCTGGATGAAGAATGACAAAAATGAGAAGACGCCGTATATCATGAGGACAACGAAGCACTTCAATGACGTACGCTCCAGTCAAAAAGAGCTCTTATCACATATTGAACCCTTCTATCCAAACGTAACATGAAGTCTAAACTACTTGTTTCTCGTTTTTTTGTCAGATGAGCAACCTTATTGCCACGGAGATCCTCTGCTGTGATGATGTTGTAACCCGGGTAGCAGTCATCGAAAAATGGGTAGCTGTGGCCGATATCTGCCGTTGTCTACATAACTACAACGCCGTTCTCGAGATCACCTCATCACTGAACCGCAGCTCTGTTTTCCGTCTCAAGAAAACTTGGCTCAAAGTTTCCAAGCAGGTGCGTGTCTCTATATGCATTGCTGCTAGTCCCTGAAGTGCATGGTATTGTCACTGAACGTGTTCATTATCACCATTTTTTTCTAGACTAAAGCACTGATTGACAAACTGCAGAAGCTGGTCTCATCAGAGGGGAGGTTCAAAAACCTCAGAGAGGCTTTGAAGAAGTGAGTTCAAGGACATAGTTTCAGACTGGATCAACAAAGCAAACAAGCAGCACAAGTGGATGATAAGTGGTTTTTATTCTCTTTTTTTTTATTCTAGTTGCGATCCTCCCTGTGTGCCCTATCTGGGGATGTATCTCACTGATCTGGCTTTCATTGAGGAGGGAACGCCGAACTACACCGAGGACAACTTGGTCAACTTCTCAAAGATGAGGATGGTGAGATGTTAGGCGATTCCTGATATGAAAGACTTGCGCTAAGTTTGTGTCACTGACATCCTTGCTTCCCTTTTTTCCAGATTTCTCACATCATCAGAGAAATCAGACAGTTTCAACAAACAGCATATAAGATTGACTTGCAACCAAAGGTAAATTAATTAATCGCAAAGACCACAGAGCAGTAGTTCCCAACCTCTCTGACAACTGACTACTTGAAGAAGCTATTTCTAATATACGAGCTGCAATCAAAAATTTCAGAGACTGGGCCTGTAGAAAGTAACAGTGGTACCTGAATTAAACCTGGGCAAAGGAAGCACTTGGCAACAGTGGAAACAAAAAACTCCCTTTTAACAGGAAGAAACTTCCAGCAGAACCAGGATCAGGGAGGGGCAGCCATCTGCTGTGATCAGTTGGGGTGAGAGGAGGGAGATAGAGATTAAATGCAGAGTGATGTATATACACACAGAGTCAAAGTAGTGTATTTTTAAGAACATTAAAAATACTGACAGAAAACTTCTTAAAGTGCACAAAGCATAAATGTAGAAAAATTGCTCTTGGTCTCTCCTGACCTAATGTGTCGTTTTTGGGAATGAACTGAACTTATTTCAGAATAAGAATCAGAATACTTTATTAATCTCTGAGGAAATTATGTGGTCACAGTTGCTCCAAGACAGTAAGAACAGGAAATAACTAACTTAAATTTGATAATACAAACTTACAAATTATAACAGAATAAGTCTAGCTCTAAATATAAATATCTCAGTATATTACACAAATTAAATATATAGTTGACATTGAGGTGCCCTTTTTATCGTATTGACTTTGTAATTTTCTTTGTAGATGATGTGATATTAAGCATGTGGAGAATGGAGGAATTGTACAGCGAGTTAGCCACAAGCAGGAATGAATTCCTGTGTTCTAAAATTGACATTTGGTCACAGCACGGATTTGAGTTTATTGATGAAGTCATAAATAAAAGTTGGATAAAGTGGGACAAAAAATAGCAGGAAGCAGTTTATCGCCATGCAAGGAGACACCATTGAATAGAGGTTAAAAAAAAATTAAATAAGGTGCATTTTTTTGCTTTCATATAGGCACTCTCTGAGCTTTTTGATTGCATCTTGTAAATGCAAAGGCTAAGTTCCTCTATATCTTTGGAAAGTATTTTTTAGAAAGAAACAGGTAAAGTCCTCCAATAACAGCAAAAACGTGGGATGTTAGTTTTTAATTTTCAAGGTGGAAATGCTTCAAAAAGATAAGTTATGAATGCTTGGGACCCTTTTAGATATATTGCATAGCACTGTTTTGCCCAAATAATGATTAATGTTTTGTGTTCTTGTTTGTATTATATTATTCAAATAAATCAAAATCAGGCCAAAGTAACTCATTAGTTCACATAATCAAAATTTACAGTATAAACATAATGATACTGAGGGTTGCAACTAGTAACTTGCTTCTGTTTAGTATTGTTTAAACTGTGAAAATAGTAAATATAATCAAATAAAAAAAGTCCTTAAATTTGCTTTCCCCCCCCCATATTCTAGGTAGCCCAGTATCTGCTGGACAAAAGCTTTGTTCTGGATGAAGAAAGCATGTATGAAGCCTCACTCAGAATTGAGCCTAAAGTGCCCAACTGATGGGGAAGGTGGCCCTCCATAGTATTTTCTTTGTTAATATTACACATCAGTTAACATGCACATCAACATTTGTATAGCTGTACATGCTTAAGATCTTGCTCCTCTGTACAGTAGATGTTTAAAGTTGTTTGACAACATAAAACATTTTAGTGTATATTTTTCCGTGTATGATTTTTGTTGTTGCCATTTCCACAATGACACCTGCTTGAAGGATTTTTTTTAAATTTCTATGAGTATTTCAAGAACAATAATAGAGGTCACTTTAGCTGCATGCAACCGTGTCTTCTACTGTGACCAATGACATTATTTTGCATCATGCCATACTGTATCAAATTTGCACTTCGAGCACTCGTGTTGCTGGCTGTTGTTCTCTTGGCTTGAGTTTTATTGATGACTGAAGTTCTCTGCAACCAATGTAGCATTGTAAAAAAAAAACTAAAACAAAAAAATACTCCATAAAATCAGGTAAAAGAGCACAGAGAATATAATTAAAGGTAGACAACAGTGATCAGTGCAACTGACAGCAAGGTATCCAAAGCATATGTGTCTCTGTGCTTCCCGAACCAAAACAAGAAGGATTTGTTTCTTCATTTCTGCTCACTATTCTAAAGACAGGGGTTCCCAACTGTGCTTACCACACTGAATGTTTTCCTACAGTGTAACTGTGGAGCAGTCCAGTATGTCCAACCAGATATGAAAGTGAATACAAGGTAAAGGTTCTTGTTGAAGTTATTGGCTGAATGAGAAAAATGAATACAGTCCACAGGAAGGTCAACTCTGTGAGCTAAATGCTAAAATTTGCATGCTATATTTGCGAAGTTAACTGAACAACAAGCTCACCACTGTAGCTTAACTTGTTAGCATGCTCACATTTTCTAATTAGCACTAAACGTACCGGTATATTGAAAGCTTACAGAAATGTTATTGGTTTTGCAAAAATCAGTCAAGTATTCACCAAAAATTGTAAATATTGTTCTAAAAGTTGGAAAGTTAATGGACCAGTTTATCCTCTGTTGTTGTTGAGACATTTTATTAACATCCACTGATGTAAATCACTAATGTAAACCCTGTCGACATCATTGAAATCAGAAGCAAATGTGCTGAGATGTGCCAAAATATTTCAGGCTGAGCTGCGAAAAATCGCACTCTTGTTGCTAGAACCATCAGCTCAGTCTACATATTTATACTGATACATATAGCTGATACATATAGACCAAATGTGACAAATGGGACATGATGTGCAGACACAATCTGTACACACTTAATTACCTGTAGAGTTTTTTTCTTCTTCTTCTTTCTGTCAAGTAGTAAATGTTCTAAAGCTGGTAATGATAAACAATCCATAGGTTGGGAACCTCTTCTTTAAGTTAAGTTTAGCTATAGGATAATACAGTTTCTCAGTTGGCACACGAGGTGCCTAAAGTCTGCTGAGTTCACTTATAAGCTGTGTAACAACATAGAGTGTTAAAGAAGTGAGGTTTGTGAGGTTTAAGGTGACGGATTTGTCACCTGCATTTTTGTTACACTTGAAGTGCACCAGTACAGTTCAACGAGTTTCCCCCTTTATGCTTAAATTTTTGGTCTTGACTTGTTAAATTGAAACTCATGAAAAAAAAAAAAATCACACGCAGTGGTTAAGTGTTGTACCTTCAGGTTCGGGTTCTACTTCTGTAGAGTAAAAGTTTGTTGCTCTTCTGTAATCAAAAGACAATCTGTCCTTTTTGCTGTTCCAGTGATTGTGGAACATGACTGTATATCACTCTGTTATATGCATTGCTGTTAAAAACTATGATAAAATGTATGTGAATGACCTCTGCCTGCAGCATTCAAACACTATTTTTGTAGTAGTATAAGAGAGAGTGACCTGCTCTTTATATGAACATGGGAAAGTATTTTGTACTTTGTTGTTAATTCACTTCACTGAGATGCGCTGTACATTTTGTACATGCAACCTGGCATATTTCTCAATGTGGAACAGTGTAATCCTCTCAAAAACAACTTATATCACAAGCTTAACACAAAACGCTACAACAGTGTGGTCTTGAAACCATAACTTAGAGGTAGGAGAGCAATTCAAAGTGTTTTGCATTTATACTGTAATCCTGTCTATAACCATTTCTGTTAGCAGGAATATAGTAACGTAGTGCTTATTCTGTGAATATTTGTATGTATTTTTACTATGTATGTACAGTACACTTTTGAAGCTAATGTGGTAGGCATGCAACACCTTCACAGACAGAATAATACTATATACTTATACTGTATACACTTATAAATGCACATACTCTTATAAGGTATATAAACAAATAAACATTTTGCTGTAAGCAATACCCAATGGTATGAAAATTATCTTTCAACCCTCATGTTTCCACAGCTTAAGAAATATTCCCAGTTTTGTAAGGAAAAAAAAGATTAAAAGAAGATGAAGAACATAACAACAAATAAACAAAAATATGTTTCCCAGTTACCTCTTGATAATAAATTCATTTTATCTCAGGGGCATTTTGTCTCAAGTGTTTTTGTAGATCTTGTATCAGTTGACATGCTCATCTAATATGATGAAATAAAATACAGTCTGAAAGTTCTTAGCTTTATAAGCAGCTCTCTGTCCTAGGAAGCAACTGTGCTCAGCGGCCTACCGTGATCCGGCAAAATCCGGAATTAATATGAAAAAAAATATTTATGATCATAATTAGAATTTTCACAAATGCACAAACTAAACATGACATAAATTGTTTTCTGATTCAATAAATGTTAAAATCCAAGTTGCAATCACATCATAACTTTCATGAAACCTGGGACCAGCTTAATACCTGGTCTACTTAGATTTTATTGATTTCCTTATTTCATTTACTAACATCACAAAAGACTTGGTAATAACGCAGGTCTGACTCTAGCAGTGAACTTGATGGCATATGTTTATCTTGTTTATTTATTTAAAAATGATTGCTTCAAGTCATACAAACCATATTATTTCACCAAAATATGCCCTTGTAGCGACATTCTTAAATGTAGACACATTAAAAAAATATTCAAACACAGATTAAAAAGGAGGACGCTATTAAACATGTTTTATAGCATGCTCATGCTATAAACTGGGGCTAAAATATTACTAACAGATTATATACGTTTATTTTCCTGCTGCTTTATACATTTAGTACATAATTTCCATTTCTTTAATGCCACAATGTCACTTTAGCCACAGTTGAGACGTTGCTTATTTTATGTTTATTTTAACCATTTTGTACGAAGGCAGTTGTTGTGCATTGTGATGATTATTTATTGCAGTGCTCTCCATTTTTTAATAACTATAGCTTAAAGCAAAACGCAGTCTGTGAACCATCAAACATTTACCCGTGGATCGCAGAACTATAGCCACATGGTTGTAACAGCAGCTGTTCACCTCGTGACTCGCCTCATCTGTTTCACTTCACTTTCACACTCCTGCTGCAAATACTGGCACTTGGAACAGTCGACACAATGTTCGTTTTTCTTGTGCTCTTTGCGGCTTCTGTAACGTCAGCTTTTCGCCTGTCTGATCAAGGTAAGTCGCTTCTTTTGTTTGGTAAAGTCCGCTTTACATTCTTATTCCTTTAGTGCTTTTTTGCTTTGACATTTGCGCTACACCAGCTTTCGCTTTCATATTTACGGCCACGGCGTCTGTTCTATTGTTTCATGTTCTTTATCGGACACTTTTTAACATTTTTTTTTTAACATGGATTATTTACAGACGAGTTTCACTTCAAGTCATGGATGGCACAGGTAGGTTATAGCGCCGTGACATAAGCAAAAGATTGCGCTCAGTATGTTGTTATGAGGAAGTTGTCTGGTGAGAAAATCATAGTAACAACGTGGCTCAAGTGGGTACTGCATCAAACTTAAAAATAAATGTCTAAATCAACACCCTTCCTCCATGTACAGTACAACAAAGGGTACAACTTGAAGGAGTACTACCAAAGACTGCAGATATTCACAGAGAACAAGAAGAGGATTGACAAACACAATGAAGGAAACCACTCCTTCACAAGTAAGACCTCTTTGTGTTTGCATTAACGTTTTGTTTCACGTGGCTCATCCTAAAGTGCTTTCACCTGCATTTCCTCTCTTCCTGCAGTGGCACTGAACCAGTTTTCAGACATGACATTCAGTGAATTTCGAAAGTCCTTCCTCATGTCTGAGCCTCAGGTAATGATGCTCATACAAGAAGCATTTTGCAATGATGATTAAGCTGTTGTTGGGGTTTTTTTGACAAGTTGATTTTTGCAGAACTGCTCTGCCACCAAAGGGAACTACTTCAGCAGCAATGGGCCGCTACCAGACTCCATCGACTGGAGAAAGAAAGGGAATTATGTGACCCCAGTGAAGAATCAGGTGAGTCTGAACCTCAGACATCCACATGCATGGTTGCTCAGTCAGACAGTAGATTAAAAAAAAACATTATAGTAATAGTAAAAGGAAAAAGGAAAGCCTTTAAGGGGATGCAGTTTCCCCACAATGAAAAATGTTACTGTTGCATGTCGATAACAGGTTAACTAAACTTACTTGCTGAGTGGCATTGCAAAAACTGTTTGCCCTTAAATAGTTTATCCAGTGTTCCTCCAAACAAAACATGTCAACAGGTCTACTGTAAGAAAAAGGCCCAGTGTTAAGTTGAGGTTTTTTAGCATTTCTTTCAGTGCATAAAATCTTTCCTAAAATCTTTGTGTGTGTGTGTGTGTGTGTGTGTGTGTGTGTGTGTGTGTGTGTGTGTGTGTGTTTACGGCAAAGGGAGGCTGTGGTAGTTGCTGGACGTTTTCCACCACTGGCTGTTTGGAGTCTGTAACTGCCATCAACAAGGGGAAGCTTGTACCGCTGGTGACTTGTTTTTTATTAGCTGATTACGTATCAAAAATTGCACTTCATGACAAAGCATAATGACTAACTTTACTGCCTATTGCATTAACTAGTCAGAACAACAGCTGGTAGACTGCGCTCAAGATTTCAACAACCATGGATGCAATGGGCGAGTCAAACATTTCCTACCTTCCCCTTTAAAAGAAAATTACGTGTAATTGCTCACTCGTTTAATAACATATTAATTTGTCTTTCAGTGGTCTTCCCAGTCAAGCATTTGAATACATCATGTACAACAAGGGACTGATGACCGAGCAGGACTATCCATACACGGCTTTTGTAACTATCAACTAAAAAAAAGAAACATTAAACAAAAGAGACTTTTCAGTTACAAACAGTTGTGTTTAATGGCTTAATTTATTTTAACTGTGTCTTTTTGTCATTTTAGGAGGGTAAGTGTGTGTACAAACCAGAAAGGGCAGCTGCTTTTGTGAATAGTGTGGTGAACATAACAGCAGTGAGTATCCATCAGGGATTTTCATCAAGGAAAAGTCTTTAGTGAAGCGAGTGAATGATGACGTTTTTCTGCCGTCTGTCAGTACAATGAGATGGAGTTGGTGGACGCTGTCGGGACACACAATCCTGTCAGCTTTGCTTTTGAGGTGACCTCTGACTTTATGAGTTACCACCAGGGTGTGTACACCAGGTAAGAAGATGTCATAATTTCAATTTTGTCTTTTTTTCACATTTATTAAAACATACTAAGTGTTTATATGATCACTATATTTGCTATAACCAAATGTAAGCAGATTCCTGCATGTTTGCTCCCATCATTTTTCCCCTGCAGTGTCCATGAAATGAATGGGGCAGACCTTTACTTGAACCTACTGATCAAGTCTATTATTCTTTTGATGCTCACATAAACACACATGGTCAAAACCTGTTTTTCATTTGGACAGCAAGTTTACCACAACCACTGCTGCTAAAATAAGAACTGAGAAAAGAGGGTTTAGAGTATTTCATTCAGTTTAAAATGTCAGTAAAGCTGTTACTTTCAGACATTTGAGAGGTTTAGTTCCTCTTTCTGAATAAAAGATATAGAGTCAGAAGAAACATGTTCTGCTTTCAGCACTGAATGCCACAACACCACTGACAAAGTGAACCATGCAGTTCTGGCTGTCGGCTATGGACAAGAAAATGGTACTCCTCACTGGATAGTAAAGAACTCATGGGGATCGAGTTGGGGCATGAACGGGTAATTTTTCTAATCAGTCACATGTAGAAAAATTTCCCTAAATATTATGAACCAAAGAAACAGAGTAACAGTTTTGTCCTCTCACAGGTATTTCCTCATTGAACG